GATGGATTAGGCGGGCCCACCACTTTGGTGGTGGCAGTAAGGGGATCCTATGTTCTTTTTGGTGGCTGTACATGGCTAGCTATAAAGCTAGGTAGCTAGCTGGGTATAAAGAAGATTAATTGCATTGTATATTGCTACAGTACAGTAATGTTTTTCCAGGCCAATAAAACATAAATTGAAGGGTAAAATAATTTTTTCACAAGTTTTAATTAGCATTACTCAAGCAAAATAATCTTTTTATATTTTTGTTACAAAGTAAAATTATTAATTTACTTTTAAAATAAAAACAATTAATTAGGAGCAAGGGTTTTTTTTGGCCTTCTATCTTTTTTTTAACATAATATAATTACCACTGCCTTTCTTTAAAATTTTATTTTCTTTAACTTGCCACCACTTGAGTGTTTCAGTCACTTTATTATGATTTTTGTAATTATTAAATAGATTTAAGGATGATCAAGTATTTTAACATATATATAAAAAAAATGATTGGTGTGTAAAACGCTTGTACTAACAAGTGAGAGGGGTTCGTACCTTTTAGGCTGCATGTGTAGGTTTTTTTGATAGTCAAAAATAACATTTCAATGCTGATCTAGTAGCAATATATTAGATCTCGAGGCGTAAGTTAGTGATAGATTGATGATGCGGCTCCGATTGGTTTTTCTTCTCCTCCTCCTCTCTCTGTCTTTTCCCTGTAAAATATAAAAGTTATTTTTATTTGTTTTTTTCATATAATTTGATTTCATTTTTTTTTATCTTTTGCATATTATTTTTTTAATTTCATTTCATCATTTGATTTCATTTTATTTTTATATCAAATTTAATTCTTATTTATTTTTTTAATTGTTATTTATTTATTATTTTTCTAAATAATTTTTTTTGTTTGAATTTATTCTTATTTCTCTAATTGAATGACAATAGTCATGCTAACTTGTGTTTGCATTTTTAGGAACTCTTTTGCTCATGGTATAAGGGGTGTTTAGAGCTGTGTCTCAACACTTTTGTTTAAAAAAAAAATTAATTTTTTTATAGATATTTTTAGATTGTTTTATATGCTAATATCAAAAATAAAACTTTAAAAATAAAAAAAAATATTTTAACATATTAAAATAATAATAATTAAAGAATAATTTTTACCACACTACAACCGCATCCGATGCAAATTGTCCAAGGATAAGGTGTGATCTTGCATTAATAAATTAGGTGGAAGTTACAGGATGGGTGTGGTGAAACTTTATCACTACTGGGCAAGGCTCCTCTGTTGTCCAGACTTGGCATCATGCACGGAGAACATACCACTTATTTTACATTTGGATGTTATATTCCATCTTTTATTGTTTTCATGCAGTTTTTTTAAAGTATAGTTTGGTGGGTGCTTTGCAATCTTTATGGCGGGCCTTCCAAGGGTCAAAAGGGCAAAAGGAAAATTGGTCCTTTCTAGTTGTTTTACTAAGATTTTTATATTAAAATATTAATTAAACAAACTATAGTTTATAGTTTATTCTTAAATATATTGTCTTCCCCAATAGAAGAAATTACAATTCTAGGGAAGACAATAGAATTGTAATTTCTTCTGTCCCATGTCCATTCATTGGTCATGATAATGAATTTTTCAGTAAGTTGAAATAAAAAATAAAAAACTCGTTGTTGGTGGATATGTGATTATATATGTATAGAAGAATCCAAAAAGGCAACGTTTTGTGTGTGTATATATTTGTGTAGCCTAGGTTCATCGTATAAGCACTCCATTCAATTTAGATAGTTATAGATCTGTTTCTGATTTACGAATTGCCGTCAAGTTATGATTATTTAAATAAAAAACTAAAATGAAATTGCTTGAGTAAAATAAAAATAATTCAGCATAAAACCCAATTCAGGGCGGCAAGCCACTAATCTAACATGTCGACGGGGCTTTACAACATGGGAAGTCAATTTGTTCTTCATCCATGGGATGAGTTTGAAAAAATGATTAAAGATTTTGAATCTCCAGATGCTTGGCTGGAGTTCTTCAATACGAGGAAACGAAATTGTTAATAATAGTGCAAAATCAAGGGAGCAGGAGCAATCTAGGTATTCATAGCATGGATAAAGAGGTAAATCCCCATTAGGGAAGGAGTGATTAGGGGGCTTCCCTTAGACAATTGAGCACAAAATGTCTCCTGTTGCTGATTGAATTTGAATCAGTCTAAAATGGAACATGTTTTCGGCGACAATCATGGTGATTGTCAAAGAGATGTCGAGTGATTGTGATTCTCATTTGGTAAGATATTTTGCTCTCTGTCAGTGTGTTTTATATGTTAGATTGATATTACTGTAATAATTATTTTTATTTTTTTTGTTTGAAGAATAATATAAAAATACTAAAAAATTGAATTTAAAAAAAATTATTGTTTTTTAAAAAGTTATTTTACATTAAATTGCGGTAGAGAGTTCCAACATGGACCTCTTGCAATGTTCGAAGGGGGGGGGGGGGGGGGGTTGATAGACCTGATATCTCTTATTAAATTGCTAATGCATTCCAAAAATCACGCCTTGAAGAGAACTTCAAGAAAATCCCTCCCTTTTCAAAAGAAAATGAGAATTATGATAAAATCGATAAAACCAAAGAGATTAATTCTTTGAAGATTAATTAATTTATTTTCTCTGTTAATTTAATGATTGCTTACACAAAGGTATTAGTGATCAAAGGTATTAATTAGTGATCTGCAAATGGCAAGTATAGTAACTTTCTTTCATTTCCTTGTTTTTCTACAAATAATATAAATAAATCAATTTCCAAATATATTATAAAGAAATGATTCGGGTTTTTTTTTTGAAAATTTAGCAATTAGTCAATAGCCATGATTTTTTTTTATGTCCCTTTGTAGCCATGATTTTGATGTTAAAATGTTTTAACAATAATTGCATAGTTTTTTTTAATAATAAAAATTTTAATCCGATGATTTTTTATTCGAGCTCTTACAAATGCAATATTTTTTCTTGAAAGAGATCTCCGTCTTGGCACATAACAGAATCTATACCTCGGAGAACAAAAAAAAAAAAAAAAAACTAATATAAACAATCATCTGCCTTCGAAGGAAAATTTAATAATAGTAAGTATTTGCTCCTACAAGAACAAGCCAAATTCCAGACCAACACTTCGTGTGCAAGAAAATCTTAGCAAATTCTTACATCGGACAAAAGATTATCTACGATGGCAGACAAGAAGACACCTGCTATCATCTTGTCTTTTATGTATTCACCAAAAAAAAACTCCTACAAATAAATGATAGGCTACGTTTTCTTCCTTTCCCCCTCCCCTCCCCCCCCTCTCTTTCTTCGCTCTTTCTTAAAGGAAATGAGAAGATCCCATCATTTTCTCCTCCTTTTCTCTGTTTTCATTTTTGTTGTTGGACTATCAAAAGCTGATCAATCAATAATCAGCCACCATTTTTGTAGGAGAAGAAGACACCTGCCCATCATTTTTGTTGTTGGATATGTGTATGCGAGGGCAGAGGAGAGTGAGAAGGAAGGTTTAATTATAATTGGAGGGTGTTCAAGAGGAAGAAAAGAAGGGAGAATTGGGGCATGATTGTGTTCGTTCATATTGCTAGGGAATGGAGGATATTAACAAGGTAATATTGGAAAATTAAGTCAAAATTGCACTCAGTTAATTATCTTCCTCTTTAACGATCCAATTTGAGTTTTCGGAAATCCTTTTGGATGTAGGTGGAATAGAGTTATTAAGGGTCATTCTTATTTTTCTTTCTTTCCCCTGGAAACTCTCTTATTTGTGGCGTAAGTGGTGTGCTTCATCTTGTTTTACCTGGTGTGTATTGAACTTTTGACATATTTTGGGTGAAAAACTGTTGCTTGTATCAAGAAGTTCGTGAAAAGTTCCAAGTCATTTGATTTATGGGTTTGCCCTTTTAATTTATTGTTCAGATCTATGCACCAAGGGTGGATGATCCATCGACAAGAACATTTGAACAGTGTTCCTCCGATTCATTTCAGATATCTGGACCGTGTGGATATCAGATATGCTATGTCTATCTCTACAGAAGCGGACCAGAGGGTTGGAAGCCTGACACCCTGAGGATTTCTGGTTATTATTCGAGGACTGTTACTTTCACCTACAATACCTACATCCCCAGAGATGTTTGGTACGGATTTAATTTGTGCCACAATGCCTCTTCTGCACTTCAGAGAGGAATTCCGCAATGGTTTTTGTACATGATCCTTGCTGTTCTTGCTAGTTTTATATTGCAAGTCTAAACAAATAAGAAGCAGCACATTGTAGGTTGCTGGGACAATTAGCAACTTACGGTTCTTGCTGGTTTTTTTTATTGCAAGTCCAAACAAATGACAGGCAGCACATTGGTGGCTTCTGGGACAATTGCTAGCAAATTATCGTCAGTGGCATGTTGCAGAAGACTAGGAAAAATATTAGTACTGGAAATGTGGCGAACCGTTTCCATATTTCTAATATGGTGTGACGTTGTAACTACCCACTATCGTTCTGAGAGGATTCAAGGAGCAAAGAACAATAGCCTGTGTAGGCTGGACTGGTGACAACTCAAGAGAGAGAGAGATAGGTTCAGAAAGTTCTGAAAGGTGTTTGTTATTTTGTTTCTTAATTGATCGATGAATGCTCAATACGCCTTGGTTATATGTATAGACTTGTATCTATAGTTTAGATCCGGCCTGGTAATTGGTCCAGTCTGAATTCTAGGTTTTAATTTTATTTTTTAAAAAAAATCATAATAATGTTATTTTAATAAAAAATAAAAAAATAAAAAGTTAATGGATTTGTAACTTATTTTTAACCAAGTCTTACCAGATCAAAAGAATAGCCGGTTAATTTATCGGGTTAACTTGCCAAATCAACCAAATTATATTAATTTTTTTTTTTAAACGTAGCTTGATTTTAGTTCCGGATTAACCGGATCCTAAGCCAGACCGGATTTTCAAAACTCTACTTGTATTATAGCCTACCAACGACTCTACCTGCTGCAAAATAGTTAATAAGGATGATCCTAATTACCAAAAACAAAAAACTAATATAATCTACGGTAAAATTTGTCTTCGGTTATAATAGAATTATTTTTTGTGCCTTCGGTTAAAAAAATTAAGCCTCTTGAGTGGGGTGTCGTTTTTTTTTTCACAACAAAAATATTTTGAATTATTTATGTAGTTTTTTTGACTTTGTATAAATGTTTTAACAATAAACATGTGTATTTGCTCTCAATATAAAAAAAAAATATTGAGCTGTTGGATAAAAGTATTCTGAAGTTTTTAATTTTTAATGTATAGTATAATTATATTTTTAATATTAAAAGAAACAAAACATAAACTTATTATTTAAGGATATTTTTATACTTTCATATGAGTATTTTATATAGTTATTGCGGACAATGTTGTTATTTTCATTTTTTTAATTTTTTAATATTTAAAACTATTAAAATGTACTTAAGATGTCTTAACTCGTCTATGACATCCATACTATTCAGTGTATGTGATGGCACCTGGCTGACATAACTGATATTTATTATCTTTCTATGAATCATAATGTTTTTTTCTGTTTTTGTTAGTATGTGATAATTTATGGTGATTGAATTATCACTAATAATTATTTTTTTTATAAATAATATATATTATTATTTTATTATTTTATTATTTTAATTTCAATCATCATCATTAATTGCCCATGTTGTTTATTTTTTATTTATCAAATTTTTAATTTTTTTAATCTAACAAGTCAGTTACAATTTCTTATATATTTTATTTTTTATTTTAATTCTCATTTTTTTAAATTTTTAATTTTTAATTTGATGTTTTTATTGAATTTTTTAATTTTATTATTCAATTAATTTTTTTATTATTTTATTTGTTAATTTAAACCTTTTTTTATTTTTTATTAAAAATACTTTTCAATTCAATTAAATACTATAATAAAAATAATTTATCGCTTTTTCTCACACTCATTTTTTACAACACAGAATTGAGGACAATATTGCCACCTCGAAACTTGGGTTCTTGACAGGTCAAATCTTCCTAGGGAAAGTCGAACCTGGGAGTCCCTGGTCGGCCTCCGGGGAGCCCCGCCAGCCCACCCAAATGGGGAATTCTGGCATCGCATTACGTTTTAATTAATACATCACTGTACGATCCAAGTAGATATATATTTGCAAATATAATTTTTTTATTTTTTGAAAATTATTTTTGAGTATAGTATATAAAAATAATTTAAAAACATTAAAAACATATTAATTCAAAATAAAAAAAATTTAAATTTTTTTAAAAACAAAGTAAAACGCCCTCTAAATACTGTGTTTGTTATAACTGGATTTATGAGTTATTTCATCGGAATAGGTTTTTTTAATATGATCAAAGGTTTTTAAAGACTTATCTTCATCCTCCTGCGAGTCCATTAGCAAGTCTGTTAGACGTTTTAATCATCTAGGTGGTGGCCAAGTGGTAAAGACTTGGGACTAAGGGGTTTGCTCTCTCTGTGGTCTCAGGTTCGAGTCCTTGGTTGCTCATATGATGACGATTGGAGGCTTAGATGGTCGTTAACTTCAGGGCCCGTGGGATTAGTCGTGGTGCGCGCAAGCTGGCCCAGACACCCACGTTAATAATAATAAAAAAAAAAGTCTGCTAGACGTTTTACTTCTTACATGATGCAGTTGTCTGCTAGTCCATTTCTAAGTCTCTTGGGCTCATAGGACTTAAGGGTCGGATTGATAAATGGCTTGTATTCTAGGGGAGAGCTAGCTAGTTCGAAACAGTCGATGTTTAGCGTTGTCTCAAAAACATCCAAAGATATTCCTTACAAATTATAAATATCTAATAAAAATACGAGTGCTTATGCTTACTAGTTTCTGACTTGTTTCAAAGAATCTAGACGTAGAGATCAAGATAAGAGAAGAGCTGACAGCAACTCTATCCCAATTTTTATCGAATTTGTTTAACTTAAAATAAAATCCTTTTCTATTAAATTTATGTTTATGCTTTTGTTAATTTCAATTCAGTTTATTTTTTTCCCTTGCTTTTTAATGGATTTTGGGATATTATATAAGGATGAAATTGAAATTTACACACTTTTTGTTACTATTCCTTATGAAAATGAACAGAGGGGCAGTTGGAATAGAAATCGAAGATATTGGGGCTGATTGAAATAAAAATAAAAGATGTGAGAGTTGATTGAAACAAATCAAAAGTTTCATGTTAAGCAAGGACCACACAGCAACACATAAATCTCAAAGTTTTACTTAATTTTAAATAAAAGAAGGCATTCCTAATTAGCCCCATAAGCAACTGTCCTTCCCATTTTGATTTTGTGATTCATTTCTATGGATTTAGGTTCAGTTTTCTATTTGGGCTTGTTTGATATTAAAAGTAGGTGTTTTTTAAAAATATTTTTTATTTAAAAATATATTAAAATATTATTTTTTATATCCGTATATTAAAATTATTAAAAATATTAAAAATATCAATTTAATATTTTTTAAAACAAATATATTTTTAAATAGTTCTTAAAAATACTTATGTTTAAACAGTAACCAAAACAATGAAAAATCAACCAGAGTAAATTATATATGGTTCAGTTTTCCACTTTTGACTCAATTCTCACTTTTTCAAGGCCGCGGCGGGGGACGCTTTCCAAGCTAGTTAATCAAGAGCGAGTATACATCCACCACGCGGTGATCTTTCTGAGAGTGGATGTGCTGCTCTAATCCAGTCTCTGACAGGCCAGCTTTTTTCTTCATCTCGTTTGCCTATAGTCTAAAACCTTCCCGTGAGGGAGTTTTTCTACAGTGAGAATAAAAAAGGTTTTTGGGCAAGGCTAGAAAGGAACTCACCCTTTGACACCAAGAGATAAGAGCTGATTGTTTAAACCCATCTCCTACATCTTTGTGGTTGTTGCCTGTGCTTGGAGTCAGAGAGACAGTGAGAGCCCGAAGAACAATAATTACTCTATCAAAATTCAAGATAAAGTGATGCCTATAACATTTATTCGCATCATGGGCTGCTTAAATCCTTCATTAGGGACCTTTAGGTTGCCCAAGGATCGATCAGGCCATGGATTAGTGGAATTTACTAATCCATTCAATTTTATGGTTGTTGGTTTGTCATGATTTATTACGAGAAGAAGACTCAATGATGTATACTCTTGCAGACTTGTAAGTTTTTGTTTCTGTTTCCAAACATTTTGATGCTTGAGAATATAGGTATGATTGCAGCCGCGTCTACCTTTGGGAACGAGCACTGATCATAATTATGTGGGATAATAGCCCATAAAGAGTGACAAATGATCTATGCTCTGCCAGGAACATAGAAGGGCCAAATTAATATGAATAAAAAAAATATAGATCAGATATGAAGGTGAAAACAATTGAAGTGCTTAGACATGAAATTTAAGGTGGTGAGAAGGAAGAAAAAGAAAAGGAAAAGATCATTGATTCCATCATTCTTCGAAGGTTATTAGCATCATTATACCGTTGTACAAAATAATGAAATCCCAAAAAAACCCATGTAAGTAAACTATGTATTTTCCTGCTTTCAAGGGAAAGAATGCTATTCAATTTCACCTACAATTTGTTGGGAATTTCATCCGGTGATGTTATGATATTTGCTCATTGGAGACCAAACACACTGATATAATATTTAACGTGGTTCGACAAACCGCCAACATCTAT